ATGAATCAGAAATCCTCTGCAAAATATATGCCACTGTATCTGTTCTCAGCAAATGACCAGCAGGAGTGTTGCAGGGCCGGGTCTATAAACAGAACAAGGCGCCCATGTGGGAAACAGAACGGTGTACGCTTTGGCCTCATGGTAAGAAAGGCTTCAGTAATTAGTTCTCCCTAGACTATGCATAGGTGGTGCCCATGAGTTATGTTGCATTTATATTGATTAGACTTAAAAAAAAAAAAAAAATAGGGTTATCATGGAAGAAGAGAGACTGGACTTTGGGAGATCAGTTTATGCGCAATCATTTCATGAAGTATCTGGTTTTAGAAGACTCAGTGTCCTGGCCCTCTGATCTCCACATCTGCTTCCTTCCAAACTCTCCACTGTTTAAATTCTACTCAACGCTTCAAGACTGTTATAGATGGAATTGTGTCCCCCCAAAATACATGTCAACTTGGCTAGGCCATAATTCTCAGTATTATGTGGTTGTCCACCATTTGGTGATCTGACGATATTTTCCTATGTGTTGTAAATCCTACCTCTATGATGTTAATGGGTAGGATTAGAGGCACTTATGTTAATGAGGCAGGACTCAGTCTACAGGATTAGGGTGTATCTTGAGTCAATCTCTTTTGAGATATAAAAGAGAGAAGGACCTCATACCACCAAGAAAGTAGCGCCAGGAGCAAATGGTGTCCTTTGGACCCGGGGTACCTGTACTGAGAAGCTCCTAGACCAGGGTAAGATTGATGACAAGGACCTTCCCCCAGAGCTGACAGAGAGAGAAAGCCTTCCCCTGGAGCTGATGCCCTGAATTTGGGCTTCTGGCCTCCTAAACCGTGAGAAAATAAATTTTCTTTTTGTTAAAGCCATCCACTTGTGGTATTTCTGTTACAGCAGCACTAGATGACTAAGACAAAGACCCAACCAAAACTCTGCCTCTTTATTTCAACTATTCCTGAGATCACCAACAGGTATGCTCTCTCTCCTCAGCTTCGGCAGCTTCCCTCTCTCTTGGCCATTGCTCACATTCTCGTGAAGCACTATTTGGGTACGTGGCACTCACACTAGACTATGAGCTACTGATGAGTCAGAGTCGACGGCAACAGCTTTGCTTTTTGGGTTTTTTTTGTTTGTTTTTTTAATGAGGTACTGACAGGCGGGACCTGAGTTTTACTGTTGTGTCCCGCAAGCGTCTTCGACAGCGCCTGACGCACCGTAAGTATCAACAAACGTGTGGAGGTGAAGAGAAAGTCAGTCTGCCCAGGTGGTTTAGGCCATGTCCTACCTGCATCGTCTAGAATGGCCAGGCTGCTGAGTAGCTAATTATTCTACAGATGTGGTCTGAATGCAATACGCTGTTGTTAGTTGCTGTCAAGTTGGCTCCAACTCAAGGCAAGCCCATGCACAACATACCAAAACAAACAACACAACGTTGCCCAGTCCTGCACCATCTTCATGACTGCTGGAATGCTCAAGTGCATTGCTGCAGCCACTGTGTATGTGAGCGCCTTCCAACCTAGGGGACTCACCTTCCAGCACTATACTGGACAATATTCTGTTGTGACCCACAGGGGTTTCACTGGTAAATTTTCCAGATTACCAGACCCTTCTTCCTAGTTTGTCTTAGTCTGGAAGCTCCACTAAAACCTGTCCACAGGGGCGGGGAGGCAGGGGCAGATGCTAATATGAGGATCGTCTACAAGTCAAGGAACCAAGAAAATGCCTGGGCCTACCTATAAGGAGACCCTGATTCGGACTTTTTGCCTCCAAAGTGAGAAAATAAACGTGTGTTCTTTGAAGCCACCCACTGGAGGTCTTTATGTTACAACACTGTAAGGCAACCGTGACTGTCAGAAAGGCACTGCAGCTCTCCCTCGGTCTCCCGGAGCTAGCACCAACTCGCTGGCTACCTGAGTGAGTTTCCAGGGAAGTAGACCCCCTACCCTGGAAAAGATTCCAGAAGACTACAGGCCCAACCAACATCTGATTTCAAGCTCAAGAGAGATCCTGACCCAGAACCACCCAGCTGAACTACTCCTGAATTCCTTATCCGCAGAAACCACGAGAGGGAACAACTGATTTCTGTGGCTTTTGGGGGAGCTCTGTTACCCAGCCATACATAACTAATACATGAGGTATAAGAAAAGACTTTCACCCAGGAAACCCATTGCCGTCAAGTCGATTCTGACTCTTAACAACCCTATAGGACAGAGGAGAGCTGTCCTGTAGGGTATCCAAGGCTATAAATCTTTTACGGAAGCAGAATGTCACATCTTTCTCCTGTGGAGTGGCTGGTGGGTTTGAACTGCCAACCTTTTGGCTAGCAGCTGACTGCTTAACCACTGTACCACCAGGGCTCCTTCCCATCAAGGAAAGGAGGGCTTAAAATAGAGGCATCGAAGGAATGGTAGGAATAGTATAAGCAAAGCAGTGAAGAGAGCGTGGGGAAACACCATGAGCAAAGGCAAGTACAAAGTGTTCCCCTACTGAATGTTATAAAGAAAACAAAGGCAAAGAGAATCTCAGGATTAGAAGAAATCTTAAAGGTCATTTAGTCCAACCGCTCATCTAAAGTTAAAGCCCACTCTTCAAACGATACAACTATGGCAGGGATTGCAATGAATTCATGCAAGCTGAAGCTCAGAAGGCGGGGCTCCTCCACCTCCCCTCTGTGTATGGATACAGATGAGAAGTGTTTCATCAGAGCAGAGATTGGACTCGTGCATTTGAACTGAGGTCATTCCCGAAAGTGATTTAGATAAGACATGGAGCAGGGAGGAGGAGGAAGCTGAGCAGGAAGAGGGAAGAAGATAAGGAAGAGAAGATAAAGATGGAAGAGAGGCAAAGGGAGAGGGAAAAAAGAAAGAAAAGAAATTGGTTTACTGAAATGCTATGTATCAGGCATTGTCCTAAGTTCCTCATGTATATCTTCTCACTTAACCCTTAAAACACGTCCACATCCTCAAATTATTTTAGTTCTATTTCCTCCCCCGACCCCACTCTTCTGAGAGGGAGTAGACAAACCACAGGGCAGAAATGTTCCATCGTCAGCACCTAAGGCCTTGTCGGGGGGATCTGAGCATGTGGTCAAGACTCCAGCAGGGTTCCGCCAAGAACGAACCCACTCACGGATGCAGGCATGCCCGGCAGACAGGATATGGGGCCATATCTCCCGGGCCACTCATCAGTACAACTCTACTCACAGGAAAAAGGCATCTGAGATGCAAAAAGAAACAACCCACAGCGTTCTCTCTCCCAAGATACCATGTGTTAGGGTCCCAGTTCCTTTGACGCCACGCGTGGCTCTAAGGAGGGGTCCCTGCAATGCTAATGCTCTCTTTGAAGAAGCAGGTACAGGCATCTGTTTGAACCAAAGGGAAGTCACAGGGAGCTTGCTGTAGGTCGCCGCCTTCAAAAGATGCTGCCACGTATGCAGTAGTATCCGGATGCCCACCCAGGTCAAAGCCAGAGGAGGCCAAGTTCATAGCCATCCTCACCATGCTATCTTTCTGAGAAGGAAAAGCCATATGCTGGGCTGGAAAAAAAATCAATACAGTTTTAAAAATTTACTCGAGATGCTAAAATACCTCTAGGAAAACAAAATATAAAAAATTAAATCAAAAAAACATGAATGCCTTTGAAGAGATACAGCATATACCAATTAAAGGTCTTCAACTGCCAACCTTTAGGCTAGTAGTCGGGCACAAACCACTGTACCACCCAGGGACCTTAGAGTAATAATCAAAACATCTTAACCTCCCTAAGCCCGGAAGCCCTAGAGCCTTGGTGGCATAGCAGTTAAGAGCTCGGCTACTAACCAAAAGGTCAGCAGTTGGCATCCACCAGGCGCTCCTTGGAAACTCTATAGGGTCACTATGAGTTGAAATCGACTCAATGGCAATTGTTTTTTGTTTTTTTTTAAGCCCAGAAAACCTGGGCCTTTGACAAACACTACAAGGATGGCACTGACAATGGGCAGGAGAGGGTGACCAACAAGAAAGTCTAGGAAGGCTCACCAAGATCCCATATACATGGGGTCGACGAGCATGCTGGACAGGTTAGGAGGGATACCCAAGAAGTTTTTATGGAGAAGAATGGTCAGAAAAAAGTCTTCCAAGGGGAAAAAAACATGACAACCCCTTGGTTATGGATTAAATTGTGCCCTCCCAAAATACATGTTGGAAGCCTAACCCTTATGCCTGGGGACGGAGCGCCGGAGCACAGTGGTTAAGAGCTCGGCTGCTAACCAAAAGACTGGCAGTTTGAATCCACCAGCCGCTCCTTGGAAACCCTATGGGGCAGTTCTACTCCATCCTATAGGGTTGCTATGAGCAAGGAGTTTTTTTTTTTAAAAATACCTGTGGATGTGATCCCATTTGGGAATGGGTTTTCTTTGTTATTAATGAGGCCACATCAGTGTAGGGTGTGCCTTAAACCTAATGACTTTTGAGACAAGAAGAGCAGATTAAGCACAGAAAGGAGCCAAGGACAAATGGGGGAGATTGACAAGGAACGCTGAGGATGCTGGAGAAGCTGAAACAAGGGTTTTCCCCCAGAGCAGACAGACAGAGCCCTCCTATAGAGCCGGCGCCCCTGAATTCGGACTCCTAGCCTCCTAATCTGTGAAAAAGTAAAGTTCTGTTAGTTAAAGCCACCCATTTGTGGTATTTCTGTTATAACAGCACTGAACACTAGGACACCCTTGAAACGAGGGCCGTAATGGACTGGCAGGAATTATCAACCAGACAAGCCAGCCTGGTTTACAAAGAGGCTTCGCTGCCTCACCCTCGGGCCATGCAGTTCCGGCAGGTTCCCAGCTGACCCAGCCTTGGGTGCGGAATGGGAACCATGTGCTGGGCCCCCTTACGCACCCCTTGCAAGGCCTCACACCCAGTGGGCGTCAGGTCGAAGTGGGTGCTGACAATTTAACACTCTTTACACCCACGAAAGGCTCAAAACCAGAGAGGTCAGAGCCCCCGGTGTCCCCGGCTCCCAGTTACCGTCGTTGAAGCTGTCTCCGGGGGCAGCGTGGCCAAAGGGCGACTGGGCGCGAGGCTCCTCACACAGGGAGTAGCTGTGCTCGGCCTGGATGAGGGGCGCAGGCGACGTCGGGGACGGCCCCACCTCCATAGACTCGCTCTTCTCCGACAGGAAGGGGTCGTTCAGGAGTTGGCCCAAGACATTCTGGGAAAACTCATCCAGAAGTTCTGAGAAATGCTGCAGAAACAAGGAGGAAGGATTCAGTTTCTCCAAACCTGATGTTTACTGTACATGCATTTCCTAAGGCAAATACGCTGTTTTCTTATCTATCTTCCACACTTGCATTCTGAATAAAAAAATACAAATGGTTTAGCTTAACTAGTGAAGAATGTCTGCCTTGAGCATTGTGTTCTTTCAAGATCTATCTGTACAGGATCAAATTGACAACAGCAACTCAAAAGATTAAGATAGCAACCTTAGGGGCAGGGAGTTTTATGTTAATGGCAGAGGAACAACTCAGAAAAGGAGGGTGAGAATGGTTGCACAACTCCAAGAATGTAATCAGTGTCACTGAACTGTACATGTAGAAACTGTTGAATTGGTGTAGGTTTTGCTGTGTATATTCTCAACAACAACAAAATAAATAAAATGTAAAAATATCTATAACAATAATAGTTATACATGCTTCCTGCAGAAATTCTAATTGGAGACATTACATTCAGAATTACAGAACTCGCAGTGGTAATTCTGCAGTCCCTGCGTGGTAGAATGGGGTTAACACACTCGGCTGCTAACCGAGAAAGGTTGGTGGGTGGAAATTATCCTGAGGAGCCTCAGAAGAAAGGCCTGGAGATCTACTTCCGAAAAATCAGCCATTGAAAGCCCTACTGCGCACAGGTCGTACTATGCCACACATGGAGCCGCCATGAGCTAGAAATCGACTGGATGACAACTGGATTTTAGTAATAATTTTCAGAAGACTAAAATAACTTCTTTGTTGCCTCTGAAGGGAGTACATGGGGGCAGCTGGTTAGCGGCTGAAGGAAACAACAATCCACTATCCTGTGGGTTGGTGGGGCGGGTCGCTGATTTCATCTGGCTTCCCTGATGCCCCACACTCAGCCGGGAGGTCAGCTGGGAGCTGTGCTGAGTGAGGACAGGTGGAGGGCTGGTGGGCTTCCTCACATGATGGCGGAAATGTCCCACAAGGCAGAAAACCAAAGGCAACTTCACTTCCTCCACATTCTTCTGGTCAAGGCCAGCGTCATGGCTGGCTGGACGCATGGGTGGGAGATGAGAGAGAGGAACAGCAACATCATGGTGAGGAAGAGTGTGGTCTGGAGGGCACGTGACTTGCTGGAGCCGTAACACCAACCAGACCACAGTACTTTGTGCTGAGAATACTTTAAATACGCTATTCTGTGTTTCTAGCGGAGTCCCTGGGTGCTGTGAACGGTTAATGCGTTTGGCTGCTAACTGAAGGGATGGTGGGGCGAGTCCACCCAGAGGTGCTTTGGAAGAAAGGCCTGGCGATCTACTTCCGAAAAAAATCCGGCATTGAAAACCCTATGGAGCACAGTTCTACCCTGACACACACGGGGTCACTATAAGTAGGAGTCAACTCAAAGTCAACTTTTTTTTAACTACTGTATTGTTACCAGACAATTTATCTCCAAGGATAGGCTGCCCTGAAGAATTTGTGGTTGCTTTCAAGTGCTTTGGAGCGGCTGGTGGATTCGAACTGCAGATCTTTTGGTTAGCAGCCGTAGCTCTTAACCACTGCACCACCAGGGCCCCAAGGAAACCCTATGGGGCAATTCTGCTTTGTTCCACAGGGTTGCTGTGAGCCAGAATTGACTCAGTGGCAACAGGTTATCAAGTGCTCTAGCACAACATGCCCTCTGGAAAAAGAACCTCCTGAGAAGTGGCCCAGCTGTGCCTAACGGCCCATGCACATCAAGAGCTGAGCAAAGGGGGAGCACTGGGCAGATCAGGAGAGAAACCAAGACTGAAAAGATGCCCGACTAGTCCCAACCAGATGTGATGACTCGGCATCTGTGCTCACAACGATCAGCTCCCACTGGGTCTTCCTGGCAGCTGAGGGCTCCAGGGCTGAGGAGAGAGGTCAACGTGCCCTGGCCTGGCCGGAGCTGGGCCAGAACCAGCCGTCACCGACACCAGCCCATGAGAGGGGCACTGCCATCCCGGAGGCCAAACACCAGAGAGAACGACCAGGTGGGCCTCAAAAAGAGAAGAAGGCCGGCGGCCTCCTGGACCCTGCCACCATTTCCACTAAGCACTGCTCATGTGAACTCAGGGGCTGTAACAGTTTAGTCCAGTTCTTCAAAGACAGCAGCGTAAGAGCGTTTTCCTGCGCGCACTACCCAATACTTCAGTCAGGCTCCAGGGGTTCACAAAGCACCTTCACAGACATCCCCTCATCCGTGCTCACGAGAGCCCTATGAAGGTGGCTTCAAGTCCATCGTCCCAATTCCCAGCCACCTACTGTTGGTGCTAGGCCTCGACCTCGGATCCTCCTACTTCAAATGGAACTTGTCTCATTGCTTCTCCCAGGAGAGGGATTTGAGCCTCACGCTCCAACTGCACGCAAAAGTGTGAACAAGTGCAAAGCGCATGACGGTGAGGAGGAGGAAGGAGATGTTGATAGACCTGGGTGTTTGACATATTAGATCTTCTGAAAATGAGCAAGGTGCTTCCTGTAAGGTGGACATGTCCCCTTCCTAGATGAGAAAATGAGGGCTCAGGGAGGCTCAGCCCCTTGCCCAGGGTCTCACAGCTGATGAATAGTGGAACTGAGATGCCATCCCAAGTCCAGCCTGTCCCAGGCCCCAGGCACTGTACGCCGAGCATGCTGCCTGATTTAGGCCAGCCTCTGAAGCTGACACATGTGGACATAGGAGTTAAAAAAAAGAAAAAGAAAAAAGGACAGACTCTGGACAGCCCATCACTATGTGCCTGTAGTCCGCTACATTAAAAGGTAGAAGATGGCAGGATGGGTTAGATGGAGGGGCTCCAGGATCACTCTCTGGTGTGCACAGGCAATATGGATGGAGATGTTTCCTTGCCCTCAACCCATGTTTCCGCCAAAGGGTTCAATGTAACATCACAGAATCTCTGGGTTGGAAGAAGAGGGTTAAACCAACCCCTGCCTTGTGACAAGAACGTTCCTCACACAACTCAGAATTTCCATCCTACATCAGTAGCGGAAGGAAGACACGACAAGTCCTTTGGAAATTTGTGTCAAAGACTTGTCTCCCTTTATCTAGAGACGGGGCATTTAATGTTCTCCAATCTGGCCCCAAACATCCTGGAAAGTCTCATCCCTCTTCGTTCTCACACCCGATACCTTCACTCTAATAACGGTCTTGGTGGGACATGGCTGCACAACATTGTGATTATAAATTAACGCCACTGAGCTGTACACTTAAAACGGTTAAGATGGTGAGATTTTATTTTTTAAATTTTAATTAATTTTTAAAAATAGCCTAACATAATTAAAACAATAAAATATTGGCATTTTCTATTTGCACACTGGCTTTGCACATTGTTCTTCCTGGAATGTTCTTTCATTTTCCTCTCTGCCATATGGAAAGCACCTAAGATAACAAACCTATTCTTTTATAAAGTCGTGCCAGATAGACACGGTGTTAATTGTTCTTTCACTTCCTTGCACATCTAAAGCCCTTAGGATAAGTGTCTCTTAATTTGACCCATTTTACTTTTTCTTTGATATTCTTTTCATCGTCCACTTTCTTAAATCTTTCATCATTAGGTGTAACCATTTCCATCCACCCCGCTGAGTCTAACACAGACAATAGATCATATGCCCTCAATAACCATCTCGTTTCCATCTATTATGATTCTATGATATCCCAACCAAGCAGAAAATAAATCTGAATTAGAGCCCAGGACCCCCAACAATTATAAATAAGTGCCATTACATTTTTAAAAAGCATATCCAAGTTTACCAATTAGATACGCGTGGGGAAATTGTTCACCTACAAAGATTACTTATTTTATAAAAACTACCATGGCTCTGAGGTATTTACACTTGTATTTGCAGGTCATTAACTAATTGCCAAATAAACTTGCAGGGAAGGAGCAGCTTAGGGTCTGCGAGGCCTCCTGCTGCTGATAACTGCTCCAAGATCTGGGGTGACAGTGTGTCTTCGTTACTTAGTGCTGCTATAACAGAAATACCACAAGCGAGTGGTTTCAACAAACAGAAGTTTATTCTCTCACAGTTTAGGAGGCTAGAAATACAAATTCAGGGCACTGGATCCAGGGAAAAGCTTTCTCTCTCTGCTGTTTCTAGGAGAACGTCCTTGTCATAACCTTCCCCTGGTCTAGGAACTTCTCAGTACAGGGACCCTGGGTCCAAATGACACTCTCCACTCCCAGCACTTGTTTCTTGGTAGTATGAGGTCCCTGTGCTCTCTTTTATATCTCAAGAGACTGATTCAAGATACAACTTAATCCTGTAGATTGAGTCCTGCCTCATTAACATAACAGCCTCTAATCCTGCCTCATCAATACCAGAGGTTAGAATTTACAACATATAGGATAATCACATCAGATCACAAAATGGAGGACAACCATACAATACTGGGAATCGTGGCCTAGCCACACTGACACATATTTTTGGGGACACTATTCAATCCATGACAGTGTGTCTTAGTTACCTAGTGCTGCTGTAACAGAAATATCATAAGTGGATGGCTTTAAAGAAAAGAAATTTATTTTCCCACCACCCAGGGACTCCAGGATGGCAGTACCATGGATTAATTTTTCTTTTTTAAAAATTTTTTGTATTGTACTATAATTATGGCTTATGCTGTCACGTCATCTCTTTGGGGCTCAGTTTCCTTATTGATACAACCCCCACAGTTGGGGGTTGGGAGAGATGTGGGAGATGGAGTGGACACTGGACTTGATCAGCGGTTTGTCACCTTTATTGATTCATGGATCCTTCTGAGAATCTGATGAACCAACACACGAATGCACAGCACAATTTTGGGGTTCACCTGCCTCCAAAAGCCTGTCCATGCTGGGACAGGGGTTTCCTGGACCCCTGGTTAAACACTCCCAGCAGAAATTATAGTCAGCACATGTGACTGTTTCTAGTCATTGCTAACAACCTATCCAGCTGCAACACTGCGTAATTTTCTAGAATGTTGCAGGCACGATAAGATGGAGCCACAAAAGCTTTTAAGCTT